CCACAACACAAGGTCAGGGGATTACTACACACAAAAGACCAGCTAATGACACCCATCAACCACAGGGACAGATAATCTCCCCTCCTTATCAAAACAATACACCCACAACAAAACACTCAACCATCTTCTCCTGATTAGGACAGTAGCCTATCTCACAAACTAGCCTTCTGACAGCCATAAATGCTCCACTCCCAGCCTACCCAAAGCACAGTTTGCTGTCCTCTGAAGATGCCGGTTCAGAACACGGCCAAGAAGCCCGAAAAACCCACAACAACCATTAGATCCCGGCCGTGAAAGCCTTCGCGAATACAGAAAAGTATATGTTTCTCTGTTTTATGCAAAAAGCAGCTTTCTGAACCGAAGCTAAGCCGGCTTGGCATCAGACAGACCCTGCGGAAAAGTAGGACAGGATTCTTATTTCTGCATTTATTTTAAATATTTTTACCTTGACTTTCTCTTTAAAAGGACCCAAGGCGGCTTACATCATTGAAAGACAGTATTTAAAACTGAAAACAGTGAGTATATAAAGGTAAACGTAAAGGTTCCCCTTGACATTTTAGTCAGTCCAGTTCGACTCTAGGGGGCGGTGCTCATCCCCGGTTCCAAGCCATAGAGCCAGCGTTTGTCCGAAGACAGTTTCCGTTGTCATGTGGCCAGCGTGGCTATACACAGAATGCTGTTTACCTTCCCACGGAGGTGGTACCTATTTATCTACTCGCATTTACATGCTTTCGAACTGCTAGGTTGGCGAGGAGCTGGGACAAAGCAACGGGAGCTCACTCTGTCACGTGGATTCGATTTTACGACTGCTGGTCTTCTGACCCTGCAGCACACAAAGGCTTCTGTGGATTAGCCCGCAGCGCCACCATGTCCCCTCAGTGAGTATATAACAGTGGTTTACATCATTAAAGTATAATATTTAAAGCCAGGAGTATAAAGAGGCAGGTTACATCATTAGAAGACAATATTAAAGTTAAAAACTGTTAAGTATACAAATATTAAAAATGAACAAACAAATACCACTCTGAGAAATGGAAAATACAAGTACTGTAGTACTAAAAACTCAGTCAAAGAAGTAATGCATAACAATCCAGCTAAAAAGCATATTCAGGTAGCCAGTCACAGAGGGAAGGCTTACTCAAGAGAAAGGTCTTTGCCTGCTTGTGCAGGGACAGCAAAGATGGGACCATCTGACCTCCAATGGGAGGGAGTTCCAAAGTCTGGGAACAGCAACAGAGAAGGTCCTCTCCTCTGCCCCCATCAAACACACCTGCAAAGGTGGTGGGACTGAGATAAAGGTCTCTTCTAATGATCTTAATGCCAGAGCTGACCTTTGGGTAGATTGGGCAGCACAATCAATCAATCAATCAATCAATCAATCAATCAATCAATCAATCAATCAATCAATCAATCAAGAAAGAAAGAAAGAAAGAAAGAAAGAAAGAAAGAAAGAAAGAAAGAAAGAAAGAAAGAAAGAAAGAAAGAAAGAAAGAAAGGGAGATACAGTCTTTGAGATAGGTTGGATCCAGACCATGTAGGGCTTTATAGGTTAAAACAAGCACTTTTGAACTGAATGGCAGCCAGTGGAGCATGTGCTCGATGTCCAAAGTTGGAGATGAGGGGAGGATTAGAAGTTGATTTAGATGAAAATCTAATATGATCTAAGGAAGAAAGGAGACATCCAGATAAAGAGTGACCTTTGCTGGATGAAATTGAAGATATGGAAAGTCTGACCTGAGAGCAGCCAATTCACTGGTTCTTCTCGCGGATGTAATGGCTACTAGGAAAAGAGTCTTCAGTGACAGAAGTTTGAAATCAGTTGTAGCCATAGGTTCAAAGGGAGGTCTGGTAAGAGCCTTGAGAACTGTTTGAAGTGACCATTGTGGAAGCAGAGGTTAGTGGGGAGGATGGATATTCTGAAGTCCTTTGAGGAATTTCTTTAGAGATGGGTGTGAAAAGAACCGTGCAGATTCTGAATCTGAAGGCTGATTGCAGCAATGTAGACCTTCAGAGTGGAGTGTGAAAGGCATTTACTGAAGAGGTGTAGGAGAAAGGTAAGTATTTTCAATGAGGCAGGTGATGCTGGAACCCCTGGGAGGTAGCATAAGTGAAAAACACCTTCCATTTGTACTTATAGAGAAGTTGGGTAGAAGGCTTCCTGGCTCTGTCAAGGACGGCTGCTATGGATGAAGGATTCTCCATGCCGTGAGTTTGAGAGACTCCAGGTCAGGGTGATAAATCTTGCTGTCGTTGTGAGTCAGCAGATTTGGAATGGAGGGGAGACGGAGAAGATCTGTTGACATCGATCTAAGGTGGGTGAACCACGGTTGTTGAGGCCACCAAGGGGTGAGGAGAATGGCATTGGACCTGTACTGATGGAGTCTGATGACTGTGTGCTGTATGAGTGGCAGTAGTGGGAATAGATGATTTCCCCAGTTTATCATGAAGACATCTCCCATGGAGCCTTCACCCTTGCCAGCTCAAGAGCAATATTGACGGCACTTGGAGTTGTCGCGAGAGGCAAATATGTTGATAGATGGGATCCCCCATCATTGACAAATCTGGTGAAAAACTGAATCGTTCAATGTCTACTCATGTGTTGTGGTGGTAAGACGACTGAGGTGGTCTGCCAAGAAGTTGCAGTGAGTGGCAACATGAACTGCAATTGGGAAGATGTGATGGAGGTCACACCACTCCCAGAAGTGGACTGCTAGGTATAGTAGTGATAGAGAGTGTGTGCCCTCTTGCTTGTTCACATAATATAAGGCCATCATGTTGTCCGTGGCAAGCTGTATGGCACGTCCTGTAACCAGTGGCTGGAAGGCACAAAAAGCTTTGATGATTGCTGACAGGTTTAATATAAACCTGAAGAGAATTGTTAATCCAGTTTTGTATGAACTGTACATTGTTTAAAGGTTGTCATTTCTGCTTCTTGGATATAGACTTCTTGTAGAATAACATTTTCCCCTGAAAAGTAAAATAATTCAGTTTTAGAAAGTTCAGGTATTTTGATACTGCTTCTTATAATCCAGCGGGCCCGTCTCTTCTTCTGTTTTCTCTCCAGTTCGCGCCACATCCACCAAGTCTGGTTCCCCCCACCTTGCTCTACTCCAAATTCAATTAGGAGCCATAAAACAGTAAAACCATTAATCAGTCCATCTTCATGTTAAATGAGTTAGTCCAGGCCCAAACTCCCACTTAACACATCCAATTGTAAATCCAACTTCAGCCAGGAGCAGTTTTAATTTATAATCCATTATTCCGCAGCTCACAGCAAGATCACTTGGGGGGAGGGGATTTCCCCCTTTTTGTCTATCAACACCCAAGATTCTCCCCAAGTGCCTCTGTTAAACACTCTCTTTAAAAACTCCATTCTTCTTAAAACTCTAGTATTATGTTATAATAGTCTATGCCATTGAGGGAGGACAGGGAGATGAGAAAGTAATCTCCGTTCATGTTTTAACTTTAGTTTCT